TGTTGTTCACGATTTGCATTGCGTTCGCACTGTTTGTGTCAACAAAAGTTGAGTGCATGTTATGAATGAAGCAATGCTTGTGTGGTCTATGAGTTGCCATCTGTTGTGTCATTTTAGTTGAAAAATAAAAGTTTAAAAGTTTTAAACTAATTAATTAATACTTTTTTATTTTTAAAAATAAACTACATTTCATTAGTGATGTTAACCAAACTAAAAGTTAAGTTACCCTGCTCTCAACATATATTAAATACATTTATTGATATAACATACATTAATATATTGAATTGTATTTAATTATTATAATATACAGTATTATTATAAGTATCGCCAAAATACTGGTAAGTCGTTGCGTTAAATTTAATATAGGTTAGAAATGAGCTAGATTCAAATAAATTTTTATGAAAACAACTTTGACAACAATTTATTTTTGTCAGGATACTCATTCCTTATGATCGAACTCATTAAATATTTCAATGATTGTTTTGCTTCAAAAAATGTATTGAGATCTTCTGGCGAACATAATTGCATTTGAATGAATAGATGACCATGTTCAATCCATGATGAGTCATATTTGACCACATGTTTCGACTTTACATCAAATAAGTTCTGGATACCCATTAAGAAGTCTTTCATTTTCACCATATCTATTATAAATGATTGAACATGTATTTTTTAAGTTTAATAAAATATATTTCATTTGAAATGCTTTTTCAATAACTTATATTATAGTCAACTTATATCAGATAAATGAGTGAAAAAGGGGTAGAAATCATTGAAAAGACAAATTGTATGAAAAGGTCGATCGGGACGAACCCCAGACCTCCTGTTTATTAAATATATTTCATATTTAAATGTGTAATGTGTGGCAGTTTACTGTAATCTGGTTAGTTATTTCTTACCCGCATATTTAATATTTTTCATTTTGAATAATGAATACGTTTGTTGAGTCAGTTTATGTCTCACGGAATATATTTCATAACATAACTCATCAACTTGTTTGCTAATTGTTTCAAACATCGACTCATTTATTGCATTCATTTGTGATTTATCTGCAAATTTCAAAAATTTTGAGGCAATTAAAACAATATACCGTAATATACTGTTGTCATTAAAAAGTCTAACCGTTAGTTATGTTTTCATTAGACATCCGGGTTATACAATAGGGACTGCTCATTAGTATTTTATATAAAATGTCACATTTTCTGTCAATCATAGCATCAAATACTGAATTGAATTCTTTGTCTCCAATAATGGGTTTATTTGTCATAAATGTCTGCAATTGTGATAAAATGTGCGAACATNCTCCAATAATGGGTTTATTTGTCATAAATGTCTGCAATTGTGATAAAATGTGCGAACATTCAGGTCTTTGCCTCCAATCTGTTGAACCGTTTTGTGAATACATATTAACACTCATTGACACCAATAAGGCATTCATTTTATGCATTAATTCAACTAAATCTTGACAATATGTTCTTGTAACTTTAATTCTAAAATTAGAAAGCCTATTATTTATAATTAATGTATAAAATGGAGTAATTATTTGATATACATATCAATTTCTATACATATACAGAGATCAGAATATACCCAAGTCCAATAATTAGGCACTTTTACTTAATAAAATAACTATGAAGTTGATCTGACCTCAAGTCCGGTATTAACCTCTGAACATGTATATCAATATCAATATCCATAAACAAAACATACATACAATCCGTTCTTTATATGATTTGTATCGAACCCAAAAATTTGAGCCCCAATTAGGGATAGACTGTAGATATCTATCCTATGGTCGTAATCAATTGGATCTGAATTTACTTCCGGTGCCTGATATGACAGATCCCCGACATCTGCCGTATGTTTAGTTTTAGACATCCGATACCAATTATTTATAATTAATGTATAAAAATGGAGTAATTATTTGATATACATATCAATTTCTATACATATTCAGAGATCAGAATATACCCGAGTCCAATAATTAGGCACTTTCACTTAATGAAATAACTATGAAGTTGATCTGACCTCAGGTTCGGTATTAACCTCTGAACATGTATATCAATATCCATAAACAAAACATACATTCCGTTTTTTATATCATTTGTATCGAACCCAAAAATTTGAGTCCCAATTAGGGATAGACTGTAGATATCTATCCTATGGTCGTAGATTGTGGTCCTATCAATTGGATCTGAATTTACTTCCGGTGCCTGATATGACAGATCCCCGACATCTGCCGTATGTTTAGTTTTAGACATACGATACCAATCAGTATTTGGGACTTCTTTAGCCAAACCAAAGTCACATAACTTTATGCGTCCGTCCATTGAAATCAACA